TAAAAAATAGTTATTTTTAAGTTCGTTTATATGTAGTTTTAGATTTGTTTGAAAATTTTTAGCTTTTAAATCATATTAATAGTTCATTTTAGTTAGGATGTGTTAGGACAAAAAGTTGTTTGTAGCCATTTAAACATTTAAGTTCTACTTTATTTTACGTAGAAAAGATAAAATTTGGTTAGTTGAAAAATTTGAAAGAGCAAATGAAATAAACGTGAAGTTAATCGACGATAACCAGGATTTTTAAGGTATTTATCTATTTGCTATAAATATAATCAAGTTGTGTTTCAATAGAATAATTATTGATGTAATGTTTGGTATACTATGAAGTTATTACTGAAAATACGCTAATTCATCAAACGATGTACTTTTCAAATAATCACTGCATTTAACTCCCAACAATTAGACACTAGTAAATATAAACAAAATTAAAATTTTATAAAATTTATAAAAAAAATCTTAATTCTTAAAATTTAAGTTTTTTAATTTCATGTATGTTGTCATAATGTTATTGATTATGACAGCATAATGTAACAAATTTTGTGTTACATAAAACTAAAACTATACTGCGATAAATTACGTTCAGACATTTTATATACATATTAGATAACCTGAAAGGAAGTATTTTAAAGTTCGGGTCATACAAATTTTGTTTTGATTGAAATTTCAATGCTTGTTACAATTTTTTAAACATTTTTAAATTACTTTTGCAATGTATGATATAATTATATTATTTTATAATTGGAGTTAACTTAATACTAATTTTAATATTTTATGTATGTTTTTGTCTTTTCTAACATAAGGATAGGCTTTGAAAGAGGATGTTAAATATTAGCAAATAGCATAATGAAAAATGAAAATAAAAATTATGCGATTAATACATTTTTCTTGTAATAAATAATCGTTTATCGTTACCAAATTTTCGTTCCCATAACATTTTTAATTGGAGCTGCTTATGAGAGAAGTAAAAAGTAGCCATGTTCCGCGGGGTACCATTTTATATGGGAATTCTTTTATATATAATCAATAATTCTCAGCATAATCAAATTTTTTTCTTAAAACAAACTTCTAAACAGGCGACTACTAATTATTAATGATGTGTTTACAAAAAAAAAAATGATGACTATTTGTAAATCACTATCATATTTTGGAAAAAATACCTAAAACTTATAGGCATGGCACATAATTTTTGTACGAGGTGTGTTCAGAAAATAATGGAAATTTTCGTTTTTTGAAAAAAATATTTATTTATTCGTCATAAGATATTATGCAATTGTGCCAACGCTTCTTCTAATCCTCTAAACACTTCTCAAACTCGATTTTTGGGATAGCATTCAGCTAATTCAATGATGTGCTTTTAATGCCATCTATGCTTGTAAAACAACGATTCTTTAAAACCCGCGAAATTAAAAAAATCCTGTTATTTTCTCGTTACTTTATTTTGAACAATTTATTTTAATAATTTGCACTGCTTTTTAGCGACTTATTTAGAATGTTTTACTGGAGGTTAAACAAAAAAAAGTTCTTAGCACCTTATTATTGTGTCAAAATGTAGGTATTTCCTAAATAATGAATCTAAAATCAGTGGCGTATTTAGTAAGATCACAATTTCAGGGGAGGCACACACGTCATTGTATTATTATAAATATTTTTGTTAATAATTAGCTCAAAATGAAGAAAAATGGATGCAGAAATCTTTCATGATACCTTGTCAATACACATTTTTGTTGTCTCCTGAAAGAAATTTTATTAGAATTATTACTGGTATAAGTAATTTAATTCAAATAAATTATAATTGATCATACAAATAAAAAAATGTAACTTTCATTATAATTAAGTTATTTTTTTTATCATAAAAGTAATATAACTTTATTACATGTTATATTAAGTAGTTTGTAATTTAATTTAATTACCAAAAATAGTAAATTACCCAACACTGATTATTATGTAAATTTATTTTTAATTAAACTATTATTTTTACACTAAAAAATTTAAATGATGTGCTGAATATTAAATTAGGCGAATAGAGTAAAAAATGTTGGTAAAATAAATGAATAATCTCAAAAAAGATACTTTTCTTTATATGTATTTAAATTTTTGAAAGCTATTTTAGTTTATATAGTATATCATTAAATATATTATCAATATAAGACGGGGATTAAGAGAAATATAATCATATATAAATATTATGCTTAAATAATACCAGTACTTTATTTTAATATTGAAAATTGGTTGTATTATGTGAGATGTATACAGCCACTTGTTTTTTTACAACGGGGTGATGCCACTAAATAGAGAACGAAGCGCTAGGTATGGTTTTGTTTACATGACTTTGAAGCAACTTCTTCTATCTAATAACTTTGGTACATAATAATGATCTGATTAATTGGAACTTTAGGTTATCCAAATTAATCCAAATAACCTGTGAAATGAGTTAGTATTTACAAATGAGCTTGGTAGGTGGCTTACCTAACTTAGTCGGTAATGCGCTGTGCCTCCATGTATAGGTTTGATTTCGATACACAGAGCTACATAAGTTTTCCGTTCTCACAAGCATTAGCAATATTTTTTAAGAGATGAATTTAAATTGAAATAAAAATCGAATGAAAATAAAAGTACATTCACATTTATATCATTGGCTTGGTTATTTTATGATAAGGGGTAATCGAGTATAGTATTATTTGAAAAAAAATGTATTTATGTAATCATATAAATAAAAAATTATACGAATAATTTTCAAATATCATTATTTAAGTAAAAATGTATATGAATAATTTTGAACACATATTTATTCGAACAAAAATGTATTATTATAAAATGTGATTATTATTATTTTGGCTGGAATAATAGTGTTTCAAAGCTATTCAAATAATTCTTATTCTTTTTCGTCGCCTTAATCCCAACTACTTGGAATCGTCAATTCAAATAATAAAAATACATTTTTATTCAAATAATTGATAAAATTACTAAATTAATAACTTTTTGTTTGAATAAATATTTCTTCGAATAATTATTGGAAATGAAAATACGCCCAACACGGGAGGTCGTATGTTCTAATAAAAAGCGTTAAAATGTCATACTAAGAAAAATTCGTGTTCGCAAAAGTTTATTGATAAGATACGTCGTTATGTTTATTGTTATTAAGTGTATAAATATCACAATAATATCAAGCTACTTGTTGGATATGGTATTTAAACTTTGAAGAGGTATTATTGAAGATAATGAACTACCGATTGTAAGACTGACTACCTCAGAAATAATTTATCAACACACATTTTATTATATCATGTCTTTCGAAACTAAATTGATGATTAGTATTAATAACAAACTTATGATAAACGTGAATGGATATTAATTTGCAGTCAGTCTTAAATTATATCTGATCAGAGAGTAGATTTATGTGAATTTACAAATTTTGTTAAGTTATTCCAAATACATAATCAACTAGAACAAGTTTGTATTAATAGGCTTTAATAACTTAGTTATATGATCTAACTGGGTTTATAGTTTTAGGGAAGTATTAGGAGGTATTAGGGAGTATATTCCCTAAAACGAAACATGTTTCTACGCTATTATATATTCTGATAACAAATTTTCAAAAACTTGAATCTTTTAAAATGGCTCAAATAAATACGTTATTTAATCATAATGTTTTAGAATATTTACAAAGTATCAAAAGTTAAAAAAAATTCTTTTAAGTTTATTTGGTATTATATCATCATAAAAAAATGTTTTATTATATTTGTAAATCATTTATACATATTAGAAAAGAATTTTTTAATTAATAATTTTTTCTTTCACTTCTTGACGCATCTTATAAAACGCCCCCGAAAATAATAAAAGGCTTAAATGTTATGAGAAGAGAGAAATTGGGATCTGTAAGCACGGTTATGAAAATGAACATTGAAGGAAGAAGAGGAAGACTTTAAAAAAGTTATTGGGTACATTGGGGGGTGAAATGAAGGCTGCTGGTGTGTGTATGATGACGTGAGAGATCATGTCAAGTGTAATTTTAGTATACGGGTGGCCGGCTCTAAGTAGTTAGGGAAAAGGCGTGCGAGAAGAAGAACTATTCCTAATGTATGCAGGTTGACTACTCATGCTATGACTACTAAAATAATATAAGTTTTACTCAAAGTTATTTTCTTAGCAACTTTTATATTTACACCACAATATTTGTAATTTATAAGAATATTTGACGACCCATTTTCAAAAATTTACCACGTTTATCTTTAACTGATGTATTTTTTTCTTTAGAGACTGGTTTATATTACTTAAGTTATATAATTCTCAAGTTTCGATACTGTGTATAATATTGAATAAAAAAAATTATTCTTCATGTATGTATTTACTTGTAGTCAAATGGCTAATTTGTCTGTTGTGGTCTACTGAATAAAAATGTGAATTTAGTCAATGGCTTAAGAAGTGTATATATAAAAGAAGCGAGTGTTTTTGTGAAGTAAATATAATGGAATATTTCAAGGGGTTAGGAAGAGTAAAGAGAAGGAAGGGAGAACGTGTGCAGCACTTGCATTGATAATGGCACCGTGGTGGTGTTGGATATAACATTGTCGCATCGGTGTGAGGCAGCGACGTCTATACCATTGTTATACGAAAACACCGGTTGGCCACCGGTAATGGCAGAGAGTATGAGCGGTGGCCGTTGCGAGTTGTACGAGTTATTATTATTATTATATTGTATAGAGTAGCGGCGAACAAGCGAAGAACACTAAAATAGGTCGAGTGCGAATAAAGGCCGACAGCGACGGCAGCGGTGGCGACTATCACATTCCTCGCCGCCAACCACCGCGGGAGCCAGGTGCACAGCAGCAATGACGCACAAGCTGGAAGCGCCGGGTCGTCGAGAGACGGTGCTGCGTTCCAGCGGCCAAAGTCGACAGCAACTTTCATTTATCCCTAGGCGCCTGGGGTGGCAACGGCGCATGACCCGGAAAGCCGGCGTATCTGCCCTCGCTTAACGGAATAGCGGCCGCCGCCGCCGCCGTCGTCTGCACACACACAGATCGGCGAACCGTACGCTGTGCATCGCTGTTGTGTTGGCGAGCCGTTCCGATCAACTTACGGTATTTTTTGATTGCGTAAACATTTTTTTTTTTCGAATTCTCTACTACAAATTGAGAATTTTTTTATCGGTTTAAAATTGATTTGTCTGAAAAGTACAAAAATAATTAACATATTTGTTCGCCATTCGCGTGTCCGAGAATAAAAGCGTGTTATAATTGGTGTTGTGATATTAATTAATGTTTGAGGGGGGAACGTTGGTCCGCGACCGACTATGGTGCGAATGAGGTGCGATGAGCGTGATGACGGCGTATGATAACCGTATTTGGTGAGATATTATTGTGGTCGACGCTTGACAACGTCAACGATGGTGGTCGGTGGTCATGTGCGTTGCAAATGAGCCATGCTGTCTTCGTACGTGCGGCTGGGTCTCCTTCTGTTGTGTGCCACAACCGCGCCACCGGCCGGCCAAGCTGCCACATCGTCCAACGTGCACAACAACAAAAGAGGTTTGTCAATCGAACGTTATTTTAATCATAAGAAATCCCTGCCACCCTTTTTAAGATATTTATTGTCGTATATTTTGGGAGATTTCAATTATTCGCCATTGCAATGATAATGAATTAATGAACAAAAACACTATGTTTTTATTATGAAATAATCTTTAAATAATAGACAAAATAAAAGGTATAATTATTTCTGATTTTTTATATGCCGTACTTTAATTGTAAACAAATCCAACAACATCATATTTTTCTCTTATAAAACATGTCGATTAATTAAAGCTTCTTAATTGGGTATAATTAATTTAATTATGTCATTCTGAATTTTTCTTAGATTAAAGCTAATAAAATATGATTAAAAGAAATCAAGCTATAGATTTAAAATATATTTCTTTGAAATACCTAATTTAATTATTTTCACCATGATCTGGAAATATTTTAAATAATGAAGCAGTCCATGGAAGCTTTAACACATACATACCTAACTAAATATTTTAAACTTATTATTTTTCTAACAAATTCTGCGTTATGTTTAATGAAAAAATCCAAGTATAAAATACTTTGAACAAATAAAAATAATTTCGATTTACTTATAATAATCGTAAAATAAATTTTTTTGTTTGAGACTTTTAAAGAGTTTTCATTTGGGCTCCAGATATCACTTGCCGAGAAATATGACTTTGCAAAAATACAATCTTTTTAAGTTTAATAGTAAAGTGAATAAAATCATATTTTTATAAGCTTAGTTAAGGAAAAAAATTTACATTAATACTTAGACTAAAATTTTAATAGACTGTAATAATAATAGTACTTAATTTATAAATAATTTGTCAATTTAATTTTTCATTGTTAGTTCACTCATTAAATGTATTTTATAAATTCATTTTTTATCACATCTTTCGAATAAATATTTTGCAATTTACGAATAAACTTACAAACGTTATAATTGTTTGAATTCCACGTATAAATCTACAGCAATAAACATGTTTTAAATTGTTATGTTAACATATTTTTGTTTACTATGAAAATAATAAAAATTTTCATTTTTGAACGGGACATGTAACAAATAGGCAGAAAAGTGTGAAACGATAGCTTATTTGAAAACTAAAGTAGCCATGTGTTAGAAATTGAATGATAAATAATTTAAATGGATGACACAACTTAGTATATGCATTTTATTTCGATATTATCTTAACTAAAAAGAATTGGGTGAATCAAAATAACTTATTAAACAGTTTCTATGCGATTGCATGCAAGTTTAATTGGAAACACCTGTTTCTGTAAGCATCTCTTTGTTATTCAACTGAATATCGTTGTATAGAAATTGTACTAGAAGTTATATTTAGGGGTTGCGTAGTAAAATGTAGTAACAGTGGCTGAATTGACAAAAAGCAATTGTAAAGGTCTACAAGGGTGTTAATGTTTTACAGGTACCGTTTAAATTAATTTTAGTTGAGGGACCCGTACTTCTCTGCGTGTCGCCACTAATTAGTATAATTATGATCTAGTGTTGTCAAATGCTAACAGTGTACTGCGTGTAGTATACATTAGATAACACGACTTTAAATATTTTTCGATTATATCCTCACGGTGGATTCGTTCAATGACACCATTCATTCTATAAAAGTTATTAAATGTAAATCATGTTTTATGGCGGTCACATGCGTAAGTCGAACGGACAAACATATATATTGTTATTATTTTTACAATATTTTATGTGTAAACAATCTTCTCTCCTGCAATATTTACGGTTCAAGTGTATAATTTATATTTATGTACATGCGCGTAGAAAAGGTCCAGATTTTTTCATCTGAACACACTTAAAAACACGCAAAATAAAAAAAATAAATAATGTTCCATCGTTGTTATTTGAGAGAAAATGAATATGAAAATAATATATATGGGTCATTTTTAAAGGCTATTTTTTGCTCTCGAATATACCATTTCTGTACATGTTCGTTTACTATAGACTGATATTGCTTGCCAGCACATGTAAGATCAGAGGTAACAAATTATGTATGGAAGGAAAAAAAATCTCCTGTCGGCAACAAGCAAGTATATGCATGTCCATAGTTGTCCTTTATACAACTATTCTAGAGGGTCCTTATTGATGGTCGCCGCCATTCTGTTGGTTGATTATGATGTATGATGACAAATCCACATTATAATATTGGTGGGTTCAAAACGTGAGCCTTTGACACGCCATCGCTGACATGAACTACTTTGGTAAATCTCACATAGATCTCTGTTTATCTTACCAAGAAGAAAAAGGCAGTAAAGTCTTTGTCATTCCAGCTTCATTTTATTCTTTTTAACGTACTGTTTAATAGCTTGGCTGGTTATTGCGGTCTTCATTAACACCCAGTTAAATTACCAGTACATTAACCTCTCCCTATTCGATTACGATTATAATTCCTCCTGGAAACTCTCGTCTGACTCTTGCTGAAGAGGAACCAAAAACGTAACAAGCGTTAAAACATACTAGTATTCAACAAAAAAATGCTATCGAGAGGAGATGTGAAGTGGAGAGTAATAGTTATATCTCTCAAGTGGTATATTGTTTTGTTTTTTTTTCGACGAACACAATAGAAACCCAATGGGATAACATTTCGTTACACAATCGAAACAACTCTGTACGTATGTACGTATGTGGCACTCAAAGGAGATGTTTTGTTTTGGAGAAAATATCTCCTCCGCCTGGCCACAGTTCTGAAAAGCTCTCATTGCCAATCCTCGTGTCCGAAACGCTAATGGAACGCTAATGGAAACCATAATCCCATATTTCATCCAGCCCCGCCTGTTCCAGTCTCTTCAAATCCACTAAACCTAGTTCATTAAACCTTAACGGTCTTTATTTCGATCTTACACTTACCAACACGATGAATCGTTTTTTCTTTCAAAAAACGTAAAACATTGTTGTTAGCTCGTCTATAAACATCTACATTACATCTACTTGTGTAATAATCACCAGCTTATTGGATGTTGAAGAGATTTGTCGTTAAGGGAAAGTTAAAACAAACATCCTATTTGAATAAAATTAAAACCAATAAAATAATTCGATGAAAATTAAAGAACTAAAATTTAATGATTAATTTAGTAATTAAATGTTTTATGTTTTCAAACCATTAGATTAGTATTGTTACTGCATGTAATGTTTGCTCTCAATTGTTATCCTGTCTATAAACACAATTGTGTGTACTTCTATTACATACATAATTTTTAGTTAAGATAAACTTGAGAATGTTCATAAAAACTTTTATCTACCCAGGATACATTGTTTAGGTTACAAAGACGATCATATGTTAATTAAAAACATTAGTTTTTATTCGTAATAAATTTGATCCGACGATTTTTAATTATTTTTATTTGGGTTTAATTTGATTTGTAACACACTTTGATGAGCCTACTTGTGGTTTCATGGGAGGTAGAAATATTATAAAATAATATCACCATAGGCGTTTCAGTAAAATAAATGGTAGGTCTTGAAATTACATTAGCAAACAGACCCACGAGGACTTTACCTTAGCGGCCCTTGCAAAATGGCAGTACTAATTTTTAAATTCAATTAGTTCTCAAAAACAAACTTGTTAACAACAATATTATAGAACGACTTTATAAATATTGTATGAAATAGCAAATACTATATATTTACACAAATTAAAGCTTAATAAAAAGTTAACGACGTTAGTTTTTTATGGTCTTCCGTATGCATTTTGATAAAAAAAATTAATAATTTAACCAATATTTTTATTTTGGTTTTCTTGATTTGTATTTTCGTATTAAGGAGTCTATTTCAAGATTACTTCCTATAAAAAAATATTGCTTAATCTTTAGGTATAGTTTAAACAAAATGTACAGTCTATTCCTCAATTTCCGGGTAAGCGAAATTAAATTTTTATTTTTCCTTTAAAATAACCAGACTAAAAATTCATACATTGAAACAAATGTTTTTAAATAACATTGTAAGTATTCAGTTTTCATATGTAAAAATATTTTATAAAATAGATAGCATGAAAAAGTAATGTCAAACTTCTATTTTTGTCTGTTTAATATTGTACTCTTATGTTAAATTATTTTGCTTGAACAGTTAATTTTTATTTAAATATAAGTGTAATTTATTGACAAAATGTTTCATGATACTAATAACAAACTGTTATTTTCAACAACGTGTGCTTCTCTGCACGTTATGAAATATGTCGCACACGCTACTGTAGCTATATTGCCTATACCGAACGCCGTTAGATATTGTGTTTTGCAAATGCTTTAGTTCGTTTAGTATTTTCAAAATTTTATCGTTTCGTGATTTATTGGAATAATGGAAATTGATTTTTAGACAAAAAAGTACTAATTTCAATTTAGAGATAGGATGAAAGAGTAAATAAAGTCCATTTTCATTGTTCTTCTTGATGCCGTAATTCGTGTCGAATGTGTTCTATTGTTTTTTGGAAAACCAATTAATTCATGTGATTTTTTTTTATCGTTAACTAAACTAAATGATTAAGTAAAACAAAAAAATTTCATTAATTTTTACTGAATACTGATGATCTTATTGTAAACGTTCGAAACGGAGCTCTTGATAATTTTATATCAACATTATTTCATAATTTAAAGTACTACAAGTCACATTTTATCATGAGTTTGTTAACATTAAGGTTATAACATTACCATTAATTCTTGGGATGGACTTTTTTGTTTCTTTTATAGTGAATAAATTTCAAAGTTTTCATAGACCATATTAAAATGCGCTTGCGGACGGGTTCGCATTATTAACCATCAACTAACGTATTATCATTTCATAACATTTGAATTCCCTTCCATTAATCAAAAAAATCTAATCACCGAATATAGTCAAACATTTTTTATTAACTTTAGGTGAGACAAGTGTGTTCTTGTTCGCTGTTTAGAAACATTGTTTTATTTACATTTTGTGCTTTTGTTCTGTGTAGTTTTAATTTCTTTTTAGTTTTTGTTTGCTTGTGCGTTTTAAACCGAAAAGTTTTGCACTT